AATTTAAGCCTTTATCGTATTATTCAAAACGTATATTTTTGAAATATTTAATTCTTATTGTGCCCAATAATACTGTTTTTCAAATCACAAAATGTACATTGAGACTATTGGTAATGTATATTGTATGGTTTTTTTTTTGTACTTACAAAATGGCTCTCATATTATTATGGTATTTAGATTATTATAATTTCCTAAATATACTATTTTAATTATTTATATATATATGAACAATAGACATTTGACTTGATGAGGACTACTTTACTTAGTATAATTCTAACCTCCTCATAATATGTCCATCTATGGATAAAATTTACCATATTATAATATTGGTTGATGTGCAAGTTGTACTGGCTAGTTGGAAAACAATCCATGCTACAGATCTGGCATACAAACAGCTCTTATACCTATGTAGCTTTCATAATTTGAACTTATATGGCATGTGATTATGTGGTTGTGCAAGTWAATCCAACATCAATGTGTAAGACAACGTTTTCAAAATTGAAAATATACCATTGGCTTAGCATACCAGATCAATAGAAATTAACTTTTCTATCAAAATAATGTTGGAAGATATCATYCATCCACAATAAAACCATAAAAGTCTACCAGCAAATTTGCCAATAGTTGCATGTACACCAACACAACTGTTAAACATCATTTTACCACTTTCAAGACACTATAGGTGACTTAAATGATTCAAAACTTCAAAAAGCATGTCTCACTCTMATTTTATCATACCTAAGTAATGAATTTATTCAAATTCTGWTTTTTTGATTTTTCAACTACACATAGRTTTAGCCTTTACCTTTTTAAAAACAATGTTTAAATTTAAACTTCATAATGATTGGTGTGAACTCAAAAAGAGCCACTCTAAACTTARTTTAAAACGTAACAATCATTTTCATGTAGATGTAGTAAGTATATTAATATATATTGTATTCAATTATTAACTGTACCTACTTATAGAAACTATATGAACATATTATCGAAAATTTAATCAAACATTTAATTAAGACTTGTTACAAGGGTATATGATTTAAAATTTTTATTTTTATTTTTGCGTCACTTCAAATCTTATACGCTATTTAATTTTAAAAGTATTTTTTCATTTATTTTGATAATTTTTTTTAACGTTTTTTTCTTCTTTTTTTATGTATATTTTCTAATAAAAAGTACTAACAAAATACTAATATTATTTTTCTTTTGTCGTTTTCTCAATTTGTATTAACTTTCAAATTTTTTCCAAAAATAGGTTTTTTTAAATGTTCTTTACTGCAGAACGATATAAATATAGGAATAAGTAATATATTTATATTTTGTTATATATATATCATTCTACCTACTACTATAGGGTATTGACCATTGAGGTAGTTTAGCTATGGGATTAGCGCTTACAAAAAGTTTTCTCATTAAATATTATCATGGGTGATGATGTAATAGAAGAAATGTGTGACGTTGAAATGTACAATTTTAAAACTTATACTAAGCCCCAATAATCCATATCAATRTCAATATGTATAAAATTTAAAAGTAGCCCATGGATTGAAACATCTGTTTGTTCGGTAAGAATTTTAGAGCCACTCCGTTTCTGATGAGTTTACTTGATAAATAAATAATTATTATTCAATTCTCTACGCCAATCTAATTACGTATTTCTTGAAAGTTGTCATTAATACATTAGTAATACACTGCTGGAAAATATATACTTTTCATGTAACACGATTAATTTTATATGCAGCAATTATTGATTTGTACGAAACAGAGAGTATTGTTCAAAAACATTAAAAGCATGTTATCAGAGCATAGCTTATTAATTTTTTTTTTCAAATTTAATATTRTAATATTTATATAATATTAAACTATGATATTATATTATTACTTATACTTTTAGCATACACATATAATAAAAATAATTATTCTCTTAAAAAATTTAAGAAACTAGCTTTTTTCATT